TCGCTAATCCCCTCATCGGAGGTGGTGTAAAGAAACCGGTTTAAAGGACCCTTTAAGTCGAAAGAAAGGGCTTCGTTGTGTGGACATGTCCAGGCTTAATTCGGTTTAACGCTGCTAAAGTCGACCTAAACCCGTAGTGTAGACCAGGCCTAAGGTGCCACAAGTACTCCTGTTCTTATTGTTGAATCTGATCATGCTGTCCAGGAAGTTGATGCTGGTGTGGAAGCGTTTTAGAGATAGTTTGATCAATGGATGGTTCTGGTTGAAGTTGTGGTGAAAATCTATGAGGGAGTTGGATCTTCTGTCCAGAGTATGAAAATATCAATATATCTGTATCTCAGGTATATTGTTGGTTTTGTGGTGCATTTTTCCAGATATTCTTCCTCAAATGGGTCCATGAAAAGGTTGGTATATTGGGGAGCCATGCTAGTACCCATGACTGTTCCCACAGTTTGGACAAAGTGTTTGTTGTTAAATGGGAAGTTGGCCTCATTGACGTAGTCATCACGTTTAAGGACTACAGCAACTCCCCCTTTGCTGGTTTGATCACTATCTGGTAGTTGGATTTTAGGGGCAGCATATCTGTCCTTTTGGTGATAGGAAGACTGTGGTGATGTAATGTTTGTGGAGGATTTCATTGTATCTTTTCATGAAGCAATTGATGTAATGATCCAGTGTTGGTTTCATCCACGGGGAGGGCCGGGGGGAGGGTGAGGGTGTCCAGTCAGATTCTTTTTTCTTATGACTGTCAGTGGGATTGTGGTAGTTGTGGGTGGCAGTGTTTTAATTGTGAAAGAATTCCTTGAGGAGGTGCATGGGTCTTACACATGCCTATCACGTGTGGTGTATTCATTCAGTGCATCAAAGCCCCAATAACAGAGTGAAACAGACAATCCTGCTCTCAAATGAACTCACACAGAAAAAAAGATAAAAACACCCTGTCACCTATGGGCAGACCCTTTTCACAAAGCAGTTACTCGGTATCTGATCTCTTAATACTTGTCCTCAAAGAAAACCGGCACAGTTCAAAAGTGAGCCTGGGAACTAAAATTCATAAGCCTGTTAGACATTAAAATCCTGGACTCAGCCGGGACACTGGTTTTTTGGCTTATTACAACAATTTGTAATGCTCCCACATCACACCCCTTATGCATCATAATTTAACCCTCAATTGCACAATTCTTTTTCAAGTGACTTCTTTCAACGTGCTTGCCCCTTATGCTTAACAATCTATCCCAACTTGTATCTAGTTCAGAGACTCTGATTTCCTTCCCCAGACCTGAAGAAGCGCTCTGTGTATCTCAAAAGCTTGTACCTTCTACAACAGAGGTTGATCCAATAAAAGATATTACTTCACCTATCTTGTCTCTTTTATGAAATATGTATGCTAATTATTATTGCTTTTATATTAATCTCTATTGGTGCATGTTTCATCATGTAAGCCGCCTTTTCATTATATTGTTTCAGCAAAAAATCAATTAGAATTCTGTTGCCATATGCTGCGAGGAACAATAGACCCGAAAGAACCACCTACATATGAATATGTAAAGTTTATAGGAAATTTCAAGTCTTTGAATAATGGTAAGAAATGCTTCACTGTAATGTGGCCAAAATTAAAGGCACTTTCCGAAGATTTATACATTAGGAAAGGTTTGTGAAAACTTAGTGATAATATTTAAAATATTTTGGTATTTATTTTGAAAGATACTAGACTATGATACAGGTTGTGTTGTTTATACTTAGCATTACTGAAAAAATAATACTTATTTATATATGGTATTATATTGTAAACAGTAATGTCTGAGCAGGTGAAAGTAAAATAAAAATAGTACCTTGCAGCTCTATAACACCTTCCATTAAAGAGTGTTAATGTTTGTAAAACACTTTAATAAACATTTTACACAAGAGGAGACGTGAGGTAAGGAAAAAAATAGGCCAGTGTTTTTAAGTGCCTAAATCCATATCTAGGTACATTACTAATTAACGTGATTTTTTAGAGTTACTGAATACCTGCAGCTGTCATTGGCTTCCAGTGGGTTCAGAATTAGAACCTACGTCTCCACCTTACACTCAGTCCTGTGCTTTAATCAACAATTATCCTTCATAGAACACTCAGAACAAAACCACAGCAGCTGTTGTTTTTTTAAATATGGTATCAGAAGGGCAGGGGAATTTATCTCTTAACTGCATGGTTTTTCCTGCAGAGTATGAGATAAATTGAGCTCTCAAAGGATAAATGTGTGGCTGAGGCTGCCTAAATTGTTATACGTTTTGTAAGCAAATAGAATGTTATAAATATTCTGCATTTGGAAGACAGTACAGGAGATAGAAAAGTCCTAAATGCTGTAGAACTTACCAGTTTTGACATGAAAATTAACATAAAATATTCCATTAGGATATATTGTGTAACCCAGGTTATATTGGATTGGTATTATGTAGGAAAAAGATTTCAAGCAATGACGTTCTATAGGAGTGACTTATTTGTTCTCTACTGGCTGTCTATACTTGATCATGTAGGAGGATTAGTGGGCCCCTGCGTTGTTCCATCAATAAACTGGGTGATGTTATCTTGAGCTGAGCAAAGTCTAGAAAAGAAAGCCTTACCTAAGGATTCAAGAGAAAAAGGTTACTGTAATACTTTTCTCTCATGACTTCATTGGGGCTAAAAATGACAAAACCTGATGAAAAATTCAGAAATTTAAAACCATTTGTTAACAAGTAGTCTAAAATAATCTAATTAAAATAGGTATTAAGAAGCAATGCTATAGCTTTTATTGGTTTCCTAAAACCATCTGTTGTCCATGACTGTATTTAAGTAGCTGGACTCTAATTTTAGTTGTTAGAGAAGTCCCTTGCTGGTTTTGATAACATGGATATGACTAGTACTATTAAATTATATGCCACATGTTTGTATTTTTAAATGTAGCTTTGCTCATAATTCATAGTAAATTTATAGTATCTTACAATAAGTTAATGTTGGGGGTTTTGCCAACTTTGTGCCGTCATGCACATTTTGTAACTAAGGCTATGTCTACACTACCACTTACATTGGTATTACTTATGTCACTCAGGGGTGTGAATAAGCCACCAGTGACCTAAGTGCCGGTGTGGACAGCACTATGTCTGTGGGAGAGTTTCTCCTGCCAACATAGTTACTGCTGCTCATTGGGGGTGGATTAATTAAGTCTACGGGAGAGCTCTCTCCCATTGGCCTAGAGCAGCAACGCTTGAGAGCTTACAATGGCGCAGCTGCATCGATGTAGCTGTGCTGCTTTATGGTCTCTAGTATAGCCATAGCTTAACTCTTCTCCCTCTCCATCTTTCCCCCACCCCATCTCCTTCAGTCCCCAACTCAGCGCACAACGGTTATGAAGGAACTATCCAGCGGCCCCATCGGCCTTCATATGAAGACAGAGTTTGCTTTGTAGCTACAGTTAGGTTAGCTACACCTCAGTTTATCAAGGTACGTTTGGGATTTTCCTCTGCACAAGTGAAAACAAGTGTTTACGACACTTGGTAAACACTTAAGTGTGCTTAGGTCATGAAACTTTCAATGTGACTATACCACTTTAAGTACTGCTACAAACTTTTGATCCAAAACAATGCAGACATCTGGTCTGCACTGCTTTCACCTAGGAGTGTCCTCCACATTGCTGACAACATCAGAGAAGTTTTTTGTAGTTCATTACAGTTTGAAATAACCTCAAAAGCCATTGATTTCAGTGCATATTCCAGTATCATTAATATTGGGTTTGATTTTGATCTCACACCAGCATTACTCATTGAAGTCAGTTGAGTTATGCCAGTTTAGAGCTAGTGCAGTTGAGATCAGATTTTGGCTCAGTCTGCTTTAAATACATAAAACAATGAAAGTGCCTAAAAAATAACTTTTAAAGCTACGTTCTTGTGGATTTATCAGCCTACTTTGAGTAAGTCTGAATTTCATAAGAGCTTCTAAATTAGAATAGAGCAGATTTGAGAGACTTGTTTGTTTGTTTTTTAGGAAATGTGCACTGTTGAAGAACCCAATGAAGAGTTCACATCTAGACATAGCTTAGAATGGAAGTTCCTATTCTTGGATCACAGGTGCCATTCCTTATAATAAAGTAGTACATAGTAGCATTCTGGCTGTAATCTTTAGAATACGCTAATCAGCACTGACTATTCATAAACTGAGTTGGGATTTGTGTGGGTTTTTATTATTATTTTGGAGAACATGTTGTAAACATGAACTAGAATGAGACTGATTTTATTGTTTTTATATGTAAAAATAAAGTAACATTAACTTCTATATTAATTAGGGCACCTCCAATAATAGGCTATTTACCATTCGAAGTTCTGGGGACATCGGGCTATGATTACTATCATGTAGATGACCTAGAAAATCTGGCAAAATGTCACGAACACTGTAAGTAAATGTCAAAACTCGGTGCTACAAAAACCATCCTCAATGAAACATCTGTACGTTATGTGAAAGTCTTCTTAATTATACTGAATTGTGTGGAGAAGGCAGGATACTTACTGAAATCCTGCATCACTCAAGTGATATTTTCTGTGGCAAGACCACAGTTTCCTGCTACAAAATGTTTATGGTTCATTTATATACAGGCACCGGAGACGTGGTCTCATACCACAGCCTTCTATTATAAAGAAATTACAAAATCATGGCTGCTGTAGCTGAAAAAATTTGTAATATAACTTATTGAAAAGCCTTCTTTTCCATTGTTTGTAGTACTTGAAATAGAAGTTCCTCTTTTTCTTATCTTGTTTTTAGTCATTATCCTAGTGTCAGTCAGATTCAGGTGAAGATCTCTTAGTTTAGATTTAGTGAATAATATAAATAATTGAATTACTACTGCGTCACAGAATTCACATAACATGTGAAAGCAAAGAAGTCTTATTCTTTTTTATCTTCTAGTAATGCAATACGGGAAAGGGAAGTCATGTTATTACAGGTTCCTGACAAAGGGGCAGCAGTGGATTTGGCTACAAACACATTACTATATTACTTATCATCAGTGGAATTCCAGGCCAGAGTTTATTGTCTGTACACACACTGTAGTAAGGTAACAGTTGTTTTTTTATTAATTTTAGAGAAGCTCTCTTAATTGGCAACTGTATTGCTGATTTTTTAAAACATTGGAAAGATTTAACTAATAGTAGTTTGCAAAGACATTGTGAAGCCTCTTGAGTGTTTATACCCTTTATTCCATGAGCAAAACAGCATGTCTGAGGAGGTCACATTTCAAGACATTATTGTAAAAAACATTTAGATGAGATATAATAAATGTGGTTTGTTCTTTTATAGTTATGCAGAAGTTCGAGCAGAAAGAAGGCGAGAACTTGGTATTGAAGAGTCTCTTCCAGAGATAGCAGCAAATAAAGTGAGCTTCCTAACTTTTTTTTATTATATGGTGTCCCTTTGTACTGCTGTATATTTGATTTTTTTAATCAAAGGTAGGAAAGTTTTTATCCTCTGCTGCTACAGCTAATGCGATGCTTTTTAACTATGAAATATTATCCCATGACTAAGAAGATGTAGGAAAGGTGACTGCTTCACAACGTACGACCTTGGAGTTCTTCTTTATTATTTTTAGGTTTATTAATGTATTACATAGCATACAGAGGCCCCAGTTAGGATTGGGGCCCCAAAGTGTTAAATACAGATACAAAGATTGATGTAGTCCCATCCAGCTGAAAAAACAAGGAACAGATAAAGTAGGGAGAGGGAGGGAAATCAGCAGAAGGGGACAGCATAGCTCCATCACATGGCCTCCACCCACTTCTCAAGAGCATCCAGAAGTCTTTCTGGATGAATACCCTCCCGATGAGACTCTGAAGGTGTTCAGGATATTGGGCCTCAGAAAGGTAAGTCAGGGGCAGGCACTCATGATGTGCTCCCTTGGTAGTCTGGCAAATTTCCCAGTGGAAATCTGCTGCTTATGGCACAACTAACTATGCCTGCATGGCTTCTCGCTCCTCCGAGAGAGAGTGAGTTAACAGCAGTAGGAAGTGAGTTATGTTGCTGGAGAGGAAAGGAAGTCTGTGCAGCAGCACAGGACTGGCGCAGAACTCAGAGTTGCAGAATTTGCCTGCATATCTTTGGACTCTGGGTTTTTATGGCTTTGTCTCGCCTTTCTTTACATGTTACGAACCCTATAAATGGAAACTCCATAAACTTAAACTTGTAGAGTATAAAAGGACAAAACTTTTTCTGCAGATTTATCTGTCAGGGGGTTGATTGGCCCAGATGTTTTACTTTGCTAAGCTGTGTTTGCCAACTGAAATATTTATTGTCTATGTGCTGAGCCATCAAATAAAATGATTTTTATTTGTACCCCTTCAGAATCAGGACTCCGGATCTGATAATCATATAAACACAGTCAGCCTCAAAGAAGCATTGGAAAGATTTGATCACAGCGGTACACCTTCTGCTTCCTCCAGGAGTTCGAGGAAATCTTCGCATACTGCAGTCTCAGATCCATCATGTAAGTGCTAACCATTGAAAACGTAATTGCCTTATAAGAGGAGACTGTATCTGTCCTTTTTTACTGTGTTTTTATTGAAATAATGCATTTTAAAACTTTTAAAATATTTTATTAATAATATATCTGAATGAAACACTGAATTTAAAAATGTCCCTCTCGATGGCTTAACTACCAGTAGTGCAGCAGCCTGAGGGCACCAGGTTTATCCAGAGAGTTCTACATTTAAATCTTGCCCAGTAGAAACCCATTGAAACATCTGATATTAAAATAAAATCTTATTTCATACTATCAGGCCTATACAATTGATAAAAATGTACTTTTGAAAAATTTGCCTGAAGCTTTCACTCAGGCAAAACTCCTTTTGACTTCTTCGTGTATGGAGTTACAGGATCAGGCTTATCATTATTATTATTAACAAAATGTGTTTTCACTTTTACATTGATCATCATTAGCAACGCCAACAAAGATGACAATGGACACTAGCACTCCTCCAAGACAAAACTTATCTGGTCATGAAAAGACTGCACCAAGGAGGTCATCACTTAGTAGTCAGGTAACTCTTCAAAGGAGAGCCTCTGTGTAAAATCCATTTATTTCACTTGTAAATGAAAATGTTTAAATCTACAGTAAACTTTACATTTTTTTCCTTAAAGCATAGAGTTTGAACTGGAAGTGAAAACATTTTCAGTCTGGCTACTTGATTGCTAAGATTGCATGATCAAGGTTACTTACACAAACGCTTATGCAGGTGTTTAATTTTACATGCTAAACTAAATGTGACTACTCACATGCATATAGTTAGGGTCCTACCAAATTCATGGTCCATTTTGGTCAATTTCATGGTCATAGGATTTTTAAAGTAGTCAGTTTCATGGATTCAGATGTTTACATCTGAAATTTCACAGTGTTGTAACTGTGGGGGTCCTGACCCAAAAGGGGGGTCATGGGGAGGGGATCACGGGATTATCATCCTTACTTCTGTGCTGCTGCTGCTGGCAGGGGTGCTGCCTTCAGAGCTGGGCGGCCAGAGAACAGCAGCTGCCGACTGGGAGCCCAGCTCTAAAGCCAGCGCCGCCGTCAGCAGCAGCACAGAATTGAGGGTCGCAGGGTATGGAGGGGGCTGTCGCTTTTGGAGGGTGCAGGACCAGCCTTATCGGTTGGCTATCGCCCAGGGCCCCATGGTCAGGGGGGCGCTGTTGCTCCCACACACACACAGCCAGCTCAAGGCCCCTTTAGCCCCTGAGCACTGTGCCTGGAGCTGGGGAGGGGCAGGACTGGGGGCACCACCGCCGGGGTCTCCTACTATGCACTGGGCTCCAGCTGCTAGTCCTAATGGGGCTGAGGAGGGATGGGACTTCCCCTTCCCCTTCCTGAGGCCAGGTCAAACCCACCTCCAGGAGTGTGCCACCCTTACTTCAGCACTGCCTTCAGAGCTGGACTCCCAGCCAGCAGCTGTGGAGCTTCCTGCAGCCAGGGGAGGTTCCCAGAGGTGGGTCTGACCCAGCCCTGGGGCTGGCCCCTGCAGGGAAAGAGGAAGTCCCAGCCCAGCCAGGACTAGCATCTGGAGCCCAGCACACAGTAGGAGCCCGCCTTCCCTACAGTAGCCAGATTTCTTGGGGGAAATGAGATTGCATGGTCCATAATGCATTTTTCATGGCTGTGAATTTGTTAGGGCCCTACATATAGGCCCCTACATGTGTTCATTGGGTGGTCACCTGCCATAACCCCCATCAGGGCCTTCGGGCAAGCCTGAAATTGGACCCCTGCCTCAGTGTCCCGTTTCAAGGAGCTTCTTGAGTAAGTCTCAAACACTTTTGTCTATTCATATGCCTCCTCAGGGTCTGGTTTATTAATTTTATTTTGAATGTTTATTAATTTATCAAGTCCTTCCTCAAGTTCATTGGTTTACCCCATTATCAGGTCACTTCCAGACCTTTCCGACCTGTAGTCTCAATCCCCAAGTTCCAGGTTTCTCTGATGGAGCCTACTTGTTCCCAGCAGTCTCTCTAGTGCATTCTGGTCTCCCTGAGAATTCTCGCTCTGCAGTTTTCTGCTGCATTTTTATAGGTGAATGAGCTGGTCCTTGCTCAGGTGTGCTTCCTTATTAACTAGGGTTGACTGTCTCCAGACTCTAGCCCTTAAAGGGCCAAGCCACCCTGTTACAACATGCATAAATCTGTGCTTTCTTTCTCATACAATTTTTCACAAAGTAGGTATAACCCATCCAATAACAAAGTTATGGAATAGTTTCATATTGTTCTTGAAATCCTGATAATATTAGAAAATCCCATATATGCCCTCTGCTATGAGCTATTCATTGACTGTGATTTGAGGTGGGTTTATTGTTGGTTCGAGATGATTAGTAGAGGAATAAAAAGATGCTGTCAACTTAAAAATGTTTGAAAACAAGTATCTTTACTTACTAACACCACCTTTCAAATTATTACAGTTCTGAAATTCCCATTTCCCTTTCACTATTTGTATTCTTTATTTATTTCTGACATATATCATAACTTGAACAAAGATACACCCCATGTAATCACTTGTACCTGCATGTTCACAGTGCTGCAATATTTCGGTTTCAGACATCGCAGGGAGTCTTTAAGCAAGTAAATGCTATTATCCCCTTGAAATATTAAAATAAATGTAGACACATTTCTGTTGGCCTTGTGTTATATAAAAGTGTGTTTTAACAAAATGTACTGTTGTGCCATCTTGGAATTGACAGTTTTTCTTAAATAATTTAGTTATATCTAGTGTGAGACAAGTTCTGTTGGATAATTGTGGTATGCTTTTAAATCTTAGTCCTTAAACGCCCAATCTGTTGGACAACCATTAGCACAGCCAATGATGTCTCAACCTGCAACTTTGCAGATCCAGCCAGGCATGTCCCAGGTATGGATTAGTTTTGTATATTTATTGACTGGCTCTTTCAGCAAATAACCCCATTTAGGAATAGGGCATTAAGGACTTTCTCATTAACTGAACTGTGTGATGGAAGTTTATTTTATGCAAAGTCATCTTTACTTGCATTCTCTCTTGTGCCTAATTAAGGTAAACTTCTTCTTAAATGTCCACATGACATAAATTGTCACTGTTAAGTTAAAATCCGTTTTAAAAATCCGGACGTAAGTATAAAATCAGATTAATATTGAATTCATGCTCTGGCGGGAAGGAGGGGAGATGCACAATGTACTGGCATGGCAATGGGGATCTGTAGTAGCCTATATGGCTTTTGTCCTGGTTAGCTAAGAGACTGTATCCTCCATGCCCTGTCCTGACAGTTGAAGTAAGCTTATGCTGACGGTCCCTAGAGATATACAGCTGAGTTTTTGTGTCTTCAGGCCACATTGTAAACCCATCTAATTGCTCAGCTTTTTGCTTAGAGGCTGACCTGGGTGCAGGGCAGTTGTGTGTTTGTGTGTGTCTTTTGTTTGTTTGGGTTATTTTGTTGAGAGTTCTCTAAACATTAAATGTATGTGTCAATCTCAGAACTTTTCACAACTAAATAATTGTGCCTACAGCAGTGCTCCCCAAACTGTCAGATGTGCCCCCTCCTGGGGGGCAAGGGCGGAGAAACGTTTTGGGGGGGCGTGTGGTAGGGCCCTGCACGGGGTGGTGGGGGTGGGGCACCACCCAGCCCTGTTCTGCCCCCAGACCAGCTTCAATCCCAGCCACAGCTCCACTCTGCTTCCCGCTCTGCCCTCTGCTTCATCCCCAGCCCAGCTCCGGCCCCAGCTGCAACTCCACTCCGCCTCCTGCCTTGCCCCCAGCCCAGCTTCAACCTTAGCCACAGCTCCGCTCTGCCCCCAGTTCTAGCCCCAGACGCGCCATGCTCTGCCCCCAGCTCTGCTCTGCCCTCCCCTCATTCCATCTCCGCCCCCCAGGCCAGCTCCCCTCAAGCTCCAGCTCCTCCCCTATCCTCAGTTATGCCCCAGCTCCACCTTCAGGCCAGCCTCCTCTGGTGAGCCAATTGTGCAGTAATGGAGGGGGCACAGACAGGTTCCATTGGTGGTAAGGGGGGGTGCGAGAGGAAAAGTTTGGGCACCACTGACCTAGAGACTGTGAGAAACATCATGCTGTAGCATGTTACTAGATAGGGCTTGGTTACCATTGCTACTATGATGGGATGATTTACCTTTTGTAGGTCAAGTTTGTCTGTTTCTGATTCAAACTCTTTTAACCTATACATGGCTCTGCAGCCTATGTTCCAGTTCTCAGCCCAATTGGGAGCCATGCAGCACCTAAAGGACCAGTTGGAGCAAAGAACACGAATGATAGAGGCAAATATTCATCGGCAGCAAGAAGAGTTGCGTAAGATTCAAGAACAGCTTCAAATGGTCCATGGTCAAGGGCTTCAGGTGAGTTACAGTTGGATTAACACTGACTTCTTAGTAGGGACTTAAATGACTTTCTGTGTGCTGAACTGCACCAATCTAGTCAAAATGGATGATATTGGTAAAGCCCTGCCTTATAGATTGTTGCTACAGACAGTCAATTTCCGGGGAAGAAATTATGTATAGTATTTGGATCTGTCAGTTATAAGATTATTTTCCCATCATTGACTTCATTTCACTAAACTGCTGGAGATACTGGAAAGAGAAACGCAGTTTCTAGTTAATGTTGTCTTTTTCAAAATTTTGTACAAGTTGTCTTTGTGCTTCTGTTTAAATGCAAACCTTAAACTAAATATGTAGGGATCTAATTCTCTTCACACCAGAGTAACACTACTGTATCTCTGTTAAATATTGAATGGCGTTATTACAGAACGAAAGAGATTTTAATCGTGCATTATCCATTGCTTATAGTACATCCATAAAGCCTCTGACACCTACAATTAAACAATATTTCTGTCTTTAATTGTTTTTCAAAGGTATTGTATTAAGAATTTTTAGTAATACTTTAAACAATCAATAGTTTGTTTTAAAAAAACTAATTTGTGGATTTTTTTAAAGATGTTTTTGCAGCAATCAACTCCTGGATTAAACTTTGGTTCTGTGCAGCTTACTTCTGGGAACTCTTCTAACATTCAGCAGCTTACATCAATAAACATGCAAGGTCAAGTTGTTCAGGCTAATCAAATTCAAGGCGGAATGAACACTGGGCATATTAGTACTCAGCACATGATACAGCAACAGCCTTTGCAGAGTACAGCAACACAGGTAAAGTTTGTCATAAGTACCTATGCTAGGTAGTATAATCACACGGTACCAAAATTGAAACCCATTATGGGCCTGCCTGATCCTGCAGTGATTCTATATAGAGAATTTCCATTGAAGTCAATGTAAATTTGAATGTGCAAGAAACACAGGTTCATGCCCTAAATGTTTAGGGTTGAAATAGATTTTGTTTTCTCTTTCAGGAAAAGGCTTAGATTTTATAGTCTTCTCTTGATAGAAGAATTATCAAGTGTAAATGATGAGCAGTGAATAACAAGTAGTTCTTGTGGAAGGACCCAGCTGTGACGGGTTGGATCACAGAAACCCCCTTGGGAGCTGCCTCCCAATGTGCCAAGACTACTTCTACCCCTGCTTACCCTGCCAACTCGGGACCCCAGCACCGTCTTGCTGAGCCAGACACTCCCATCTACTCCAACACAGACCCAGGGTCTGAATTACTTGCCCCACTGCCAATGGGGTCTAAACCCAAATAAATCCATTTTACCCTGTATAAAGCTTATACAGGGTAATCTCATAAATTGTTCACCCTCTATAACACTGATAGAGAGATATGCACAGTTGTTTGCTCCCCCAGGTATTAATACATACTGAGTTAATTAATAAGTAAAGTGATTTTATTAAATACAGAAAGTAGGATTGAAGTGGTTCCAAGTAGTAACAGACAGAACAAAGTAAGTCACCAAGCAAAATAAAATAAAATGCGCAATTCTGTGTCTAATCAAACTGAATACAGATAAGATCCTCACCAGTTCCAGAATGCTCCCTTTTACAGACTAATCTCCTTTTGCCTGGGTCCAGCAATCACTCACATCCCTTGCAGTCACTGCCCTTTGTTCCAGTTTCTTCCAAGTATCCTGGGGAGAAGGGGGGGGGAGAGGAGAATATCCCTAGTTCTTTATTCCTACCACCCTCGAAAGCCTTTTGTCATGGTGACCTATGTTGCCTTCAGTCCCAATAAAGTGCCTTCATAGAGCTCACTAAAGCTGATTGGACGTGCTCTCTGTCTTCCCCTCACCCCAATACTTCCAGGGACTGAGCATGCTTACACCTGCAGTTCTGCCTGGCCCATCATTCCACCTTCTTGTGCAGTTCTTCTAATTTTATAAGAGTTTTGGAAGAGGAGCATGGGACTGGGAGTGAGAAACTCCTGGATCCTAATCCTGGCACTAACACTTACTCACTGCATGGTCTGGGACAAATAATTTAACCTTTGTTTGCTCATCTGTAAAAACTGGGATAATATATATTTACATAACTCACAAAGATGTTGTAGGACTGGATTAATTATTTTGTACCGTGTTTTGAGAGTATAAATCATATATAAGAACATTTAGTATTAGCAATAATTAACTATTAGTGTACAGCATTGTTATTTATGCCCGCAAAGCAAGCTGTGCCTTCTCTGTGTTTGAAAGGGGAGTTTATTTTTACAGCTGTATTCAATTAATTTATTACATATTTTTCTTTCTTAGCATACTCAGCAAAATATACTTAGTGGGCACAATCAACAGACTTCTCTTACCAGTCAGTCACAGAATACACTTTCAGCCCCCTTATATAACACTATGGTGATTTCCCAGCCAACGACAGGAAATGTGGTCCAGATTCCATCTAGTTTACCACAAAACAACAACCAGAGTGCTGCAGTAACTACTTTCACCCAGGACAGACAGATCAGGTAAATATAAAGGAGCAATATTCATTCAGATGATTTTGCTAGAGCTTTCTGTGCTTTAGTAGTCACCAGATCTTATGGAAAAGGAGACAAAAGTTAAACCAAAAATTTCATGCAGTTTTACTTAGTGTAGGCATGTGCACGTGTTGTAGTCTGAGGACCAAACTTGTGAAGAGATACTCCTGTAATTCCATTAAAACTCATGGTGTTGAGGCACTGGTGGAGGGGTGGGCCTTTGAGGGCAATATGTAGCCCATTGTACTTGAATTTGTTTAGTTTGTATTAAGCAAAGGAAAAATTGGTTTGTCTTGAATGGCCCAGTCAGTGATAAACTGGCACTTACCTAATCAGATTGATATAGGAAAGTTCATCCAGTGTATCTGAAGCAGAATTTTTTTTTCCAAACTAAGCTGATAGGACCTTCTGATGTCTTTTTTCCTTTGACAGATTTTCTCAAGGTCAGCAGCTTGTCACAAAATTAGTCACCGCCCCTGTAGCATGTGGAGCGGTAATGGTCCCAAGCACTATGTTTATGGGGCAGGTGGTGACTGCCTACCCCACTTTTGCTGCACAACAGCAGCAGCCACAGACATTATCAATAACGCAGCAGCAGCAGCAGAGTCAGCAAGAGCAGCAACAGCAGCTCAGTACGGTTCAGCAATCGGCTCAAGCTCAGCTGACGCAGCACCCGCAGCAGTTCTTACAGGTAATGCAGCGCTGTCTCGAAATCTGTCAGATTGCACAAACTTTCAGATAGTGACGTAAACCAGTTCAGTATATACTGCAAATTTGATGACTGAGAATGTTATTTAAATAAGCAACCTTGTTAATCTCAGACAAGCGATGTGCATGGGAGGAGGTTCTTTCATCAACCTTATTTAAAGTCTCTTGCAATCTTTATTGTCAAGTTCACAAATAAGAACTGCACTTAAATAAATCTGTTTCCCAGCCTATGGGCATTAGAGTACACTAGGAGTGGGACATGAAGAGAAACAATGGGGACAGGAATAATTGTCACACTGGGTCCACCTCATCTCACCATAAACATGCATGCGTGCGTCTAAGTAAAGGGGCAGGCATCTCTTTGTAAACCTCTCACTTTCCCTCCAGTTGCCATGGTGGCCCACAATGCAACAAGGTGTGAGCTGACTCAGGAGGCAGCATGCCAGCCTAAGTGTCTTTTCTCTGCTTCTGTGTAGCTGCAGGAGCACATGCTGCCTGGACCTCAGGGAGATCCCAGTGGATGTCTGAGCAGCAATAGCCGTCCCATGAGTAAGGAGAGAAGAAGCCACCATGCGGGAGAGGAGAGATTGGATCAGAAAGAAAAGAGAGGGTGCAGGGAAGGAGGAACAGATTGAGAATAACAAAAGAGCAAAAAAGAAAATACGTACTAAAAATAAGAAATCAAAAAAAGACTGAAGAGGGGGAAAGAGGAGGTAGAATGGACTAGTGAAAGGAGAGGCAGCAGTGACCTTGCAAAACTAGTGTACTGGAATGTGTCTCACAGGAAGGCCTAGGGAAGGGGGCATGTCAGTTGCCAGCCCATTAGAGGGGCAATCTGCTACAACAAAAACTTTGGGAACCACTGAAGTAGAGACACAGTCAACCTATTTGGACCTGAAATTTTGCCTTCTTTTAAAGGAAGATAATCCCTTACAGCATCCCTAACTAGTTTTTGTATATATGTGTGGGCATTCTGTTAAAAGAATGTTAAAATTGCAAATCAGATTCTTGAAATGTCGAAGTTCAAGTTGGCTGCTCAACCTTAACTATACTCAGATCATTAGGGGTCTGTGCTCTTATAAAGCCTTTAATTACAATTGCTGTGTCTCTCTGCCTCTAACTATTGCCATAGTTCTCCTAGCCATTGACATCACAAACAGAGATCCAATAAGTTGCTTTACAGTTAGTCAGATGCTGAAAATATTAATACTCTGTAATTAGCTATTTTGTTCTGAATGAATCTTCACTTTGTGCAATCGTAAGTGAAAGTAGTCATGGTCCTATTGATGTTTAACCTCATGTGAGAGTTTTAAAATATAACCAGACCTGCATTTTCATAGTGTGGGCAATAATCCTCTTTTATTTATTTCTTCTTAGACATCCAGGCTACTTCATGGAAATCAATCAACTCAGCTTATTCTCTCTGCTGCTTTCCCACTACAACAAAGCACTTTTACTCAATCACACCACCAGCAGCATCAATCTCAGCAGCAGCAGCAACTCTCACGACATAGAACTGACAACATGATTGATCCTTCCAAAGTTCAGCCACAGTAGCACGGGGATTCACTTCTTCTAGAAGCAAACAGCAGGGAGGAGCTGCTCCATAAACAGTTGCACTGATGATAGTAGAGGTAGAAGTCCAAAGGCTTTATAAAGTACAGTATTGAGGTCTACTTCTAACTTCTGGGAATCTGTTTGCAGAAGAAACTACTACAAAATGTTGTGGAGGTACCTTAGATACAAACAGCAAAAAGATAACAGGGACATGGCCAACTTTGACAGTCTTTTAGTTGTCCCAATTTCTGTGTTCTAAAGGATGTGCTACCACGTAATAACTTGTCCAGATCAAGTCTCAAACCCTCAATGAACCAAAAAGGGTTCTAAAAATGTTGGTATCTTTAGCAGTCCTGTAAGTTTGTCAAATGTGACCATGGACACACAGTTGCTCACAATAATGCTACAAATACAGTCCAAAAGACATTTAATTTTTTTTTCAGATGATTATGGGACAAGTAAATATTTTCAAAATGTTGTGTGGAATCAGATTCTGTATTGTACAGATGTAAAATAATGTGTATATGTCTGGATAAAAGGAGAGAGAGCAAAAATATTTTATATGATGCATGAAAATGTAATCTTGTTGTTTGTAGGTTTGAATGTTTCCCTAAATTCTCACACCATGCGCCGACTAATATTTTCCTCTGTTCTACCCTTTTGTTTACAACATGATGCATCATAATTTTCACCCTTAATGTGGGCACAAGTCTCTTGTTTGTGCTTTGTCTGCGATGTCACAGTTTGTTCAGTGAGGTATAGTGTGCTGGTTAGTGGATTTTTTGGGGTTAAATTATTGATGAAACTGTTTGAACTGATGGTCACGCATCAGGATCCAAGACATTCAGATTTCAGAAATATCATCCATCATTTCACAATTATTCATTGTTTTTTGATTGAAAAATAGGAATTTGCACTGCTTTATTGTGGATGGTTTGGAATTTTACTCCCCAAAGCTATCTTTTGATATAGATCATAGTTGGAAATATTTATGTAAAAGGTTTTAAAAAAACTACATGAAAGTAATTTTCAAGAATGTGTCAGTTATAGGAGTAATTTGCACAACAATATATTTACACTTAATAACATTTTAGGCACTTTTTAACCACCTTCTCTGTGGTGAGAATTGTAACTTTTTAAAATATGTTGGAATCTTTTTATTGTCCTTTAAAAATTAGATCTTTCTTTAGTCAGAACTGATTCAGGATCATTTTAAAACAAAAAAACAAGAAACCCATAGTGCCTTGATTTTAATTCAGGTGATAACATTGAACATCTTGAATTATGTTGTCTTGAATCTGTTACGATTTTACAATTTTGAAGTCTTAGTACAATCTCAACAAAATGTGTTTCTACTTCAGAGCTATATCTTGTTTGTGTTCATATATTACAAGTATTTTAACAATCGTCTGAGTTGAGATCATGAGCATTTTTTAAAGGAGTGCCTCTCCCCTCAAACACTAAAATGGAAACAGGTATCTAATGATTTACCTGTAAAGTGTTCAGAGAATAAGAAGTAGCGCTCTTTAGTGGCTCCAAAACACAGATTAGTCATTTGGGGGGGGGGGGGATTAATCTGACACTTTTTAATCAGATCAAATCCAACTTTACTTTATTGATTGGAATTTAATGGAAAAATAAAGAGGGGATTAGGACTGCATGTTTAACACTCTGAGTATTGACTTAAAAAGGGATACCACTAAACTAAGACTTCAAAAGGCAACCTCACTTTATAAAGATAATAAAAAGTTCCAACAGAAATGATTTCCTATTTTTAAATGTTCAGTAGATTTCTATGGTACTACTTTGTACAGATCACATCTGCAGAGCAAAATGAGCTAATACCAAGGTAGACTTGGTAGTTAAAAAAGAAAATTAATTAAAATTAACACTGAGGAGGGAAAGTTTTTAGTCAAGAAGCTGAATTAAGTCAGAGTATTAGGGAGGAGCTGTATGAATGTAACCAAATTGTGGTGGAATATTAAATATTAGGAACAGTTTGATTGTATTATTGGGTGACCAGAGCTGACTGAAAGGTAGTGCTAAGTTAGTGAACACTAGATGCAGTTACCTTTTGAGGCTTCTTCCTAAAATGAGCTTTGGCCTCTCCACTGTCATCTCATCAGATTAGCCCCTCACCTCCAAACCATAAAGCAACAGGTCAACAGTGGATCCTGGGAGAATCACAGTGGAAAAGGGAGGAGGGCATAAGAAGTAAAGAACCAAAGAGAACTGGGTTGGTTTCTGTTCCAGGAAGTCTCTTGCAACAAGGAGTAGGAACAGATACAAATATTAAACATATCCAGGAAACTTTCCATTTCTGTGCTCTTTAAAGGCATTTCTGTCATTCCCTGAACCAATATAATTGTCAGAAACATATATTTTTTTTAAGTTTTAGAAAAGCAAAACTCCATTGACTTCCCCGCCCCCCCCCCCCCCATATTGCCTTGCCTAATCCTGCCATACCATTCCACCTGTATCCAAAATTTAAGATGCATTGACCAGAGGTCCATTCCATAAAGACTTTTAGTGGGAAATAGACTTGTTAGGTAAAGGTTTTAACCTAATTACAATAATAAAATAGCACTAAAGAAGAAAATTGGGAGAGCTTTAATATTACTCTTAGAAATATAGTGTGGTGGTAAAACCAGCCGATAAACTGTAGCAGTTGCAGCTACAGTAAATGCAGAGCATAACCAGCAGACAGCTGAGAGAGTTTTATATATAAGCTTCATTCAAACCCCTTCTATCAACCAAAAAAATACTTTGGTGTGCTGTTGTAGGTCAGACAATAAAAAGGCAGCCTAACTTAGGTGTGAGAGGTTTTTATATAAACATAGCTATTGGAAGAGGACTAAGAGGAAAAAATCTGTCCTTTGATCAAGAAGCCTTCCATAAGCTCAGAGGGGAAAGTCATCCAAAAATGAAGCTACACTTTACCTGCTAGCTGATAAAGAGAAGAGGGGGAATTCTAAGAGACTGGAAAATTATTACATACATTTGAAAAGCTTCTGCCACAATTCCGGCAAATGTTAAAAAAAAAAAAAACCGAGAAAAAGCACACAGTATTTCACTGACTCTAATTGGCGTGGATGCTCTGCTTCTCTTTCACTGACTATTAAAGGATTTGTGATCAAACAAGGCTCACTTCTGCTCCTATTAAAGTCAATTGCAAAACTCCATTGACTTCTGTGGGAAGAAAATTGGGCCCCAGTCTCTCTCTCTTCTAATCAGCCTTATGCTTCTGGCCAGCTTATTCACTGGTGTGGCAAACCTGTTGTTTGTGACATCCCAATAGATATCACAGCAGCAAATGCTATGATGTTTAATGTTACAGAATGACTCTGACAGGAGTGAGGAAGTTGGATAAGAAGGAGAAAATGTTGTATTATGGATAAATGCCTTGGTGACATACAGTTAAGAAAAATATCATGCTGTATTTTCTTAATAGAGTTTTGATGAGAAAATTAGTAAGTTTGCCTGGGTTGGGTGAGAACTCAAAGAAAAGCCTCAGAATTTCAGAGGGAAAAGAAATATAGCTATTTTTATATTATATTTAATATATGTTATATTTGTATATAAATATGAAAAGATTATAGTAAGAACTCTCCATATGCCTTCCATTTTATCTAAACGTTTACCTCCTGGTGCTATGGCTCCAGTGTATCACCATCTTTGTAGGCATTATGCCTGTTGCCAACCAACATCAAAGTTAATGTTCCAATATCCTTACAACAGATAGGCCCCAGTTCAGCAGTGTGCCTAACCTGAAGCATGTAAGTTAGTCCAATTTAAGTGAATGCTGACATACTGTGCTGAATAGGGTCCTCAGTTCTCCTCAGTGCCCATGCTGGCAATTTTTCATGGGAAAAGGAGAAACCCTCGCAAGACTCGAGTAGCGCAGTTTAAAAAAAGGTTTTGGAATAATGATAAGCACTTTACTGAAAAGAACTATTCGGAAAACAGTTAATTATTTTAGGCAATGGAACGGTTCAAAAGTGGCCCAACGGGATTCGAATGTAGAAAACTGTCAAAGAGGCATTTCTGGAAAATGTTTCTAAATGTGGTGATCCTTTGAGGCTCTAAGCGTGAGATTAAAAAGGCATCTAAAATTGGTTGATTTTGTTTTAATATGGCCTTAGGAAAGGCTAAATCTACATAAATACTAGCTTCTTTTGAGATTTCTTTTAAAATTGCACAATTGCCTGTGAGAAAGAAATGATCAGTAGGCTTATTAACCTGTTCAGTAATTCTAAACGGCCCTTGGGATTATAATTTGCATTAAAATATGTGTAGAGGGTTTACAGATGTGGCCTTTAGTAGACTGTTGCAGTCCCCAAATCTAGAATAACTAGTATTCTTAGAGATAAAACCAGATGTAGTTATGAGTACATTTTAAATGCCATGGCATCATGCAATGTCAGCACATGCATGTTAGATTCGTGTCTCCCTTTGAAATCATTCTTGAAACAAGATACTCATTGAGAAGGGCTGGGGAAATTATTATTTTTGGATAAAAGGGAGAAAAAGACCAGCATAGTACTGAATCTTCTTTTTTTTAATCCTCCCCAGTGGAAAAAGTTAAAAACTATTTGAAACTCATTGGGATAAAGAATTTTGTATCTAGTATATTTGAAGTTGAATGTTAAATGGCTCATAGTACATGAGAGAAACTTTGAGAGATTTTTAAATTAAATCTGGTTGTCCATTAGAACTTTTTTTTTAATATCCTGATTTTAACACTACATTCCTTGTTTTTTTCTTTAATAAACAAGTAATTTACAGGCTCTGTTTGCTTCATGCTTTGTCATCTGCATGGGTTTGGCCAGCATGGTATGCTAAATTGTACCTATAAATAAAAAGGAAAAACAAAACACTGTGTATGAACAAAATACTGTATTGCCTGATATGGAGATCCCAGCCAAGACTGAGAAGTGCTGCACTAACAGACAATCAAAATGGGTGACTATTTATGAAAGACTTTGGGGAATGATCTTAAAGAAGTAACTGCTTTGAAAGCAGTTGGTTTTTTTTTAAATAAGGTAAAACTATTTATTTTAAAATATATCAATTGGATTGAATTTTGAGTTTTTAAGCAGTGTTGAATTCACAGTGTCTTGGGTTTTGGTTTGGTTTTGTACTTTCTAACTGGCATTAGAATTGTATATGTAGAAAACTAGTGCCACTCATACTGACGTCAGGAAATGTAGATACAGTTTCCTGGTGTTCATGTGACCATTACTAACTGTCAATTTTTTAAATTGAATAAATGTAACTCATTTGAAATTCTACTTCTTGTAGCTTCTAAGGTTCTGGTAACTTTTCTGATTTCACTTTTATATCCTACAGGGTTCCATAGTTAAAGATCTCTTAACATTTGAACAAATATACCAAAGGCACTTCCTTTCTTCCATACCCTGACAAAGAACAGTGATATGGCAAATGAGGGTAGAGCTATATTTAAAATGTATATTGCACTTTTTCTTGCCTACTTTCTGTATCGCTTCATAAAATGATGGCCTGTCCTGAAGATTACAGAGATGTCAGTGTTTCTTATATCTGGTATTGTTTTCAGCCCTTGTGTAAGGGATATAAGACAGATGGCAGTCTCTGTTTTAGTTAAAATAATCTAATGCTTTCAAAGAGTAGTATTATCTGTTCAGATTATGCCCTTGGATATATCTGTGTATTCTTCATGATGCGTAGGTGTAACAGAAGGCAGAATTTGACCTAATTTATGTGTCTTCATTACTATCTTGAAACTGATCAAGCCAGTCTTGTTTGAATATGTACTCTTTGCAACTAAAATGTTTTAATAATGAAGTGTAAAGATTTCATGCCTTCCTTACATTTGCATGGTGACATAAATAGTTCTGTATGCAGCACTGGGGCAGCATATAACCCAATGTGGTGGTTTAATTAAACAGACTGGGCCAGATCCTGCTCTCACATTGAAATAACTCCATTGACTTCTGGTTGGCTTTGGTGGCGTTACCCTGGAATGTGGAATTGGATCTAAAAGTGTGCCCTGTAACTCAAGATAATGGGAATGTGGCAAATGTGCTAAAAGGTTTGTTTTTGTTTTTAATTTCTGGGCAAACTATGACATCACTTCATTGTCAGAACGCTGATCTTTTCATGTTGGGAGTGAGATTGTACTAGTGCAATCCCATTGCTGGCAATGAGTGCAAAGTTAATGTAGAATTAGCCATACAAATTCTTTAGCTGAAAAAACAAATCTGCACCAGATGATGGTGTCTTTTTATAAAAAGACAGTCCGTTTTCTTAAAACAGAACTTAGGAAATATCAATGTATTTTTCCATATACTTATCAACCAGAAGAGCTATAATTCAAACTGCTGATATAACTGAAGCAGTGTTGTTCAATTACATTTCACTGTTGTGCAAGTTTGGGAACCAGCACCTTATTTAGACAAGACCATAACTGTTTAATATTTGTAAAGATTAAAAATTGAAAGTCTAGTTAACAAAGCACTTTTTTCTGCCTCAAAGGGCTAGTGGAAAATAGAAGTTTAATTTTTGTAAATTTCCTATTGTTGACATGGAGTAGTAGTTGAAACAACATCAATGAATAATTTTTCACTCTTACTAGTGTGCTGTACGGAGCTAGGGATGCACTGTCCTTTCCATTACTGTCACTACTGCTTGGCTCCTGAAATTAATTGGATCAATTTAGTTAATTTGGGGGAAAATCATCATCCTAGTCAACTAGAGGAAACTAAAAAAAATTATGGTACATGCTAAGTACAGATAGGTGACACGTGAGTGAATGAAAAGCTGTTTTTCCTTCCCCAAGAACGCTGCTGGTGTTGCAAACGCTGCCTACGCTAGCAAACTTCGTAGCTGTAATTCACCACTGATGGAACTATTCTGGTATTAGGGTATGTCTACACTTACCATGGATTGACGCTGTGGCGATCGATCAACCGGGGGTTGTTTTAGTGGGTCTAATGAAGACCCACTAAATCGACCAAAGATCACTCTCCCGTTAACTCCAGTACTCCACTGGAACGAGAAGCCTAAGGTAAGTCGATGGGAGAGTTTCTCCTGTCGACCCAGCGCAGTGTAGACCCCACAATAAGTCGACCTAAGCTACATCGACTCCAGCTACGTTATTTACATAGCTGGAGTTGTGTAATTTAGGTTGACTTAACCCCATAGTGTAGACCTGCCCTTTGTGTAGACAAGGCCAAATAGTGACTTTAGCTTGTGAGACTTGGAGGCCACAGATGCCAAGAATGTGAATAACAGCACTGAACAGATTTAATTTCATTATTTAATCTCCCACAACATGAGCCGAGATTTTGGTTAGGATGAGACCCTATATTAACCTGTGTAGGGTGAATGGCCTAAGCCACAAAGGTCCAATCTTGCACCTTTATTCATGTGAAGTCAGTGGGGCAACTCGTGAAAAAGGTCTGCAGGATGGGACTATATTGGAACTTTGACAGGAGGGGCTTCAGCTGGACTGATTACTGACGGGAGTAAGGGATCCAGAATCCAGGCCTCAAACTGCTGCAAAATCTAGCATGAGCTGCATTTAGGAATAGACTCTGAGGTTGATACTGGCTGGTTTTCAGGTATAATTGGAGGCCAGTTCAGCTTGTACAACACCTCGTTCTAACCTGTGCAATCAATCACTGACTCTCACGACCACAAAATTTACATTTAAATGCCATAAAGTAGTCATGCTTCACAACTATAAGCCCATTAGCAGGCTTTTTCTGGAATATATCCAACACATTCACATTGCTCTCCTGATACTGTGTTTTATTAGTGTTGAAGATTGTACCTGTACTTTGTTTTTGCCCAGTTTCTATTGAAAACTTTGTACTGGCAACAGAGCAAACCTCATGTTTAAAAGTCTGGTGGTAGCTTAATCTCCCCTTAGTATTCTTTAACATATAGAGAAATTAAATGAGACAAAGAATTTTGTTTTACCAAGTTATCTTTAATTTATGCTGATCTTTGTACAGCTTTAAAGAGATAAGCAAGCTTGTACAAATACTCTGTTCTTTTTCCCATTTGAAATACTATAACTGATGTCTCCAGAATTACATTTCATCCCAACAGATCCAAGCAGTAGCAGCTACCCTCGGGGCTGCCTTTTTTTGCTTCTACTGTTAAAGCTCGGAAATAAAACATACCTCACGTGTTTTTCCAGGTGACTTACATTGCAGGTTGGTTTTTGGTTGCACTGAAGCCTGAATACAGTGTTCACCACCTCAGCATTGCACTATAGTTTTATGGGCAAATTGGCTATTAAGCGAGCTGCTTAGTCAGTGATGCAGCTTCACATTTGTTTACATTCACTTGGCCCCAATATTACATCTACATCTGTTTCCTTCCCATGAACCCAGGAGGAGATCCTATTAACCGTGTTACGTAGAAATCTGTCATTGATTATGTTCTTAAAGTAGCCTTTATCTGCAAGCCCCATGGGCCTTCTCCAGATAACTGCTTATAATATCCGTTCAATGAGGGTAGAGGACTACAGAACTCTCATTTAGCACTATGTATTCATATAGTACAAGCATCAGTCTGGAGCCAGGAAAACATATGGCAAGCAGTGGGACAAGGCTAGAACAAGTGGGGGAAAAAAAACATCACTTGCTCTTTCCTAAAGTGTTTCAGATGTCAGTTGCCAACTCCAGAACACAGCTTAATGTATGTTACAGCCACTCATAGGGACCATCAGTGTTACTCAGGCTTTCTACAGAAGAGCTATTTAACGTCACTGGAAAGGCTCAATGCAACCTTTACATGTTAATCAGTAGTGGGGCTCCGTGTTTGTCACGGAGGTTGCAGAAGTCACCGATTCCGTGACTTCCTGTGACCTATGTGACTTCTGCAGAGGCCAGCTGCTCAGGCAGCCCTGGGGACAGCCACACCCGGATCTGCAGCCAGCCGCACCGGTCGCTGCTCTGGCAGTCCCGGGCACCTGGCCTTGGGGACCACCTGCGCAGCGGTCCCGGTGGTGGTGGGAGTTGCCGCAGCTTGACAGCTCCTGGCGGCAGTGCCAGGCGGCTGGAGGAGCAGCTGGCCCTGGGGCTCCCATCCCCAACCCCACCGTTGGTGCTGTAGGCTACTCTCCCTGCCACCTCCCAAGATTCAATCATGGGTATTTTTAGTAAACGTCATGGACAGGTCACAGGCTATGATTTTTTGTTTCTTGCCTGTGATCTGTCCATGATGCTTACTAAAAATACCCATGATTAAATTGTAGCCTTAATCATTAGGTAAGTAGATCAAAGGGTTAGCTGGAAACTGGATAATTTTGGGGGGGAGGGGAGGAGTGGTAACCATGGAAGGGAAGACGGGAGGCACAGATCACCTTGAGAGCTCAGGCGTGGGAGGCTCATATTTTCCATCCAAAGAGATATTTCATTGCTTATTACCCAATACTAGGAGCCTGGGGCAGAGGTGCAGGATGGGGGTTCCGGGCTGGGGCAGAGTATTAGGATGCAGGAGGGGGTATGGGGTACTGCCTCTGGGGCGGGTCAGGGCTGGGGGTGCAGGAGGGAGTTTGGGTGCTGGCTCTGGAAGGGGGCTCAGGGCTGGAGGTTGGGGCACTTGCACCTCCGGCAGCTTCTGGTCGGCGGAGCAGTGGGGCTAAGGCAGGCTTCCTACCTGCCCCTGCCCCACTCTGGCACATCGGCACCTCCTTTCCATCATGAGCTGGGCCACGCCCCTACCCCCTGCCAGCCAGTAGTGCATTATGTGCCCACACTGCTCCTGGACCTGGGGGCGGGAGGGCATGTGGCACTGCCCCACAGCTCCCTGTTCCTGGCAAATGGGAGCTGTGGGGGCGTGCTTGCAGTCAGGAGCAGGTGGAGACCCCTAGCCCACCCCCTCCACCATCCT